AAAAAGTCTGTATCTGTATGAATGTGTAAAGAAAGTGTTCTTCCACCTCCTCCTCACAACATCTGACTACCCGGCATAATTGGTGTCTGCTCCATTTTCATTTTTTATGGTACAGTACGGTTATTTTATGCTGCGGAACGAATTATATGTTTTAACATGTATTTCTATGGGAAAATGCGTTTCGTATAACGGACGTTTCACTTAACGGATGTGTACCTGGAACGGATTAAGTACGTTGTACGAAGCACCACTGTATTAGTAAAATATATCAAAGCTACAATTGTCTTTGTGTTCTGTTTAACGACGAAACATGAAGACAATTTTGTAGCTTTGATGTATTTTATTTATTTATATTTTGATGTAAAAATTAAAATTAACTCAATTGATACAGTTTGCTAAGTTTAAAGAACTGCTTACAAATTTAGTCTTTAGGTACAGTATCAAAAAATAAAAAGTGCTGAATAGAACTTGTTCATTCTTTATGTTTCTATTATACACAGCCCACACATTAAGTCAACACTTCACTGTAATAGTTTTAATATTCTTATTATCAACAGTGCATCTTTATTTAAATTGTAAAAACTAAAAACTTAATACAATTTTTGAAAAACTGGAAGAACTACATGTCTTTAAGTACAAAGTATCCCAATGACATGCATTAACCTAGTGTTTCTCAAACTTCACCATCTGGTAGATCTGTTTAATAAATTTTAACGTGTCAATTTGCATAGTTTGCTGTCAATATATTGGGTTGTTCGGAAAGTAATTTCATCTTTTTTTACCACTAGACAGATTAGTCATATTTTTCCCACCATTTTCATTCTAAACCGTATTATCATTATATATTTTGACAGCTAGCATTATAAAGCTTATTTGTAAAAAATTTTGTTTGATTTTGCACAATTGTTTATTTTTTGTGTCCCATCAAATATGGAAGATCGGAAGCATTTTCAGCATATTTTGCTCTTTTATTACCGAAAAGGTAAGAATGCTGTTCAAGCGAGAAAAAATTGTGTGACGCGTATGGAGAAGATGTATTGACAGAATGACAGTGCCAAAACTGGTTTACAAAATTTCGTTATCGCAATTTCAATATTGAAGATGCACCCCATTCTGGATGGCCAGTTGAAGCCAATGAACACAAAATAAAAGAACTGATTGAAGCAAACTGCCGAATAATAACAAGAGAAATTGCTAACAGATAAAATTTGTCAAATTGAACTGTTTATGATTACTTGAAACAAATTGGTTTTGTTTCAAAGCTTGATATATGGGTTCCATATGTTCTTAAGGAGANCTATATAAAAATTTTAGAACTTTCTGTTCAGAAATAAACAAATCTTTTCCTTACACATTACCCAGTGAATTTTAAATTTCATACCTTTATGTGAATTTACACAATACCATCAATTCACATAAACGTGTGAAATTTAAAATTCACAGAAACTTGTAAATGTAGAGACAGTAGGTAAAACCAATAAATAACTTTTAATATCAAAAAGAAACAAAATAAAATAATTGATTTGTCCACCTGTTTTGCATATATAGATCTTGACTAGTGTTACCACCCTTCCAGTTTTCACCCGGACAGTCCAGGAATTAACTCACTGTCTGGGTGAACTATTAATTTTGTCCCGGAATTTCATAGGAATTGTGAAATTATGATGAAACAAAGTTCTTGCAAATATTGTTACAAATTTATACTATTTTAACAGCGAAAGAACTCAGACACTGAAACCCATCTGCAATTCTGCCATGTTAGTCTGTTTACATCGACATGTGGCGCACAAACCCTGTTGACCTTTTTATTTTTATTACTTTTTTTTTTTTGGTTTATACGATAGTACATGTCACAAATAGAACTAAGTTATCTGTACTCATTCTTTCTTAATTTAGGTTACTTACGTTACTCCTATGCAAGTCCCTAGTCCCTAACTGTAACTGATTTAGAACCGGCATGCACGTTATTCTTCGCATTCTAAAATGACATTGCACATGCATCAGGAACTTCTGTTCAAACAAACCTGATGTGCTATCCAGGTCAGCGATTTTCAAAAGATGGCAACACTAATCTTGATCAATTTATTGTTTCATCTTCAGTTAGTTTCAAAGACAATGTTAGAAATAAAATACCATATTTCATTGCATAAAGAAATTCAATGGCAACAGATAATTTAAAATTTATTGATTCAAGTGCTTTTAAAATTTAAGGACCAAAAAAATGTGTGATATATCCAAATCCACAATATAATGAAAGGCTACTGTAATTTAAATATGACAGAAATTTAAAAAACTATTATAAATTATAATTACCACTCATTCCAGGATACATGATGTAAGTGGCAGTAGTGCCCAGACTAATACATACTAATCCAGCAATTGGATTCAGAGGTGACATTCCAAATGCAAGTATATACAAAACATGAGCTATTGCAAATGATAACATTCCCCAAATAAAGTAGCATGGCCAAATTAGAAGGAGATCTCCAAAACAAGAAAATATTAATCCAGTTAAAATTCTTCTAGAGTATGTATGTTTTTCATCTAGACTCATTCCATGTAGAATAACAAATATACATAACCATCCAACCGGTAAGCATTTGATAAGACAAGCAAACCAGGATGGATTATCACCAGGAATGGCTAATACAAAATACACAGCAACAGTCTTGAAGAATGGCACTAATTTTGGTCCAACACTTTTTAACTGAAATTGAAAAAAGTTGAAGTTTTATATAATGAAATAATTAATTCATTATTTTATTATTATTATTTAAAAATAATAACAATATTTTAAGACCATTAAAAACCATCAATTACTATTGAAATTGTTATAGCCTTTTATTGTTAAAGCTGTTTTTAATATCTATAAATCAGTTAATTTTCAGTTCAATAATCATCAGTTGAGACATTCTAAGAAACAAGTTATTGCTTATTATTGCAAGTATTTGGGAAATATTCTGTCTACATTAGTTATACACTTTTATAAACTAAAAAAAATACATTTATATGCTTTAAACTCATCTAATTTTTTGTGTATATTTTAATGATTTTTTTAAACTTCTTTATAAACTTTGTGAGAAGGATATTTTTATGAAAAGGTTTTTGTTAGACAACTACGAAAAACAAATATGTGTAGTAGATGTTAAAAACTCAATTTATTTTCATATGATATAACTATGTACTGGTTCAGTAAAGGATGCCAACTCTAAGCATTCTGGCAGTAACCCTAAACCCAATTGTTGGCAGAATAGTTACAAAAATAAAAATAGCCATGTCACACTAATCCAATACAATAAACACAAATAATTATTACAATAACAATTTTCCTAAAACTAATCCTTAATACTACATTCACTCTAATAAAAGAAAATTGAAAATAGAGATGAGAAGTAGAAAAGATGTGGATAGGATAGGAAAGAATACCCAGGTCATTCAGTTACCATGAGGGCCATGTGTGAGCTTCTTAGACCAAAAAAATACTTGTTCCTATATTCCTTTCTGTTGGTTCTTGAGGGTTTTTGAATAGTTGATTCCAACAGCCGGTCACACATTTGGACTCTTCAAGTGAAAACGCTGGCTCTAACATGCTAACTTTGGTGCTGGAATTTTGAAGTTCTAGGTGCATCCATATCTATGGCACTGGACACTGCAGTCTTTCTCCTTACCAACCCAAAAGTGACCTTCCTTTGCTTCTGTTGTGAATTGCGAGAATTTTGCCATATAGTGCTCCTTTTGGTCATTGTTTAATTTTAAAAATAAGAATTTGGAATGCTAGAGTTTTGGAATGTTTGAAGTTTGTTCTGTTCTGTAAATGTTTCGTTGAAAATAAATGTTCATTGTGCCTTTTTCCATTAGCTTCCTATGTCCTCAGGTAATCTCGCATATGATGATGGTGAATTCTAGGAAGTGACCTTCACTCCAAGAAGAAATAATTATTTAAGATTAAAAATTTCTAGAAGGTAAAAAGAACAAAGAGCAGAGAGCAGGAAAAATTGTCAGAAGAACAAAAGGTCAACAAGAAGTTGTGGCTGTCCACTAATATGGTGGACAGTCACAACTTCTTGAAATTTTCTTTACATGATTAAATAAAAATAAGTAAAAAATTTCAAAATCTAATAAACATAAATAAAAGAAGTTTGTAGATATCTCAAGTTAAATTTTACATTTCTTATATTAAAGTTTGGCAGCATTGAAGTCCACATATCCTTATGAACTGTGATAGATAAAGCATTTGTCAGAGAAATGTACTACTAAAAGTCAGAGATTGTTTACTTGTAATTAAATACAGAAAAAAATGGCACAAAATACCGCCACATCAATGACTAAACCTAACATTCATCCAGCCATGAATGACAACCTATATGAACTGATTCTGGAGTTGGATGAAATTAGTAATGACAGTGCACATTTCTTAGATATATCTTTCAATGGTAAGAGTTTTGATACTAAGGACTATTATAAACCAGACTTCACTTGTATATATACAGTGGTAATATTCAAAATATTTAACAAAGGGTTCGCTAACAGAAAATTTTTCCTTAACAATTTTTTTTCGCTCAAATGGTGCATTAGCAACATTAGCACAAAAACTGACCTTAAGATACCCATATAAATAAAAAAGGGTTAATATTACCTTAGGTTCCAAGATGGCCATGCTTCCGACTGTTTGTGGTTCAGACGGACTCCTCCCAGAGGGGAGCCGCCGGCAGGCCGCTGAGTGCCAAACATCACTAGTTATTTATTCACGGTAGTTCTTGAACAAAATAAAAAAATAAAGTCTACTAAAAATGTATATAATCTAATGGAAACGAAACGAACTTAACAGTAGCGCCGCCATCTTGGAACCTAAGGTAACATTAACCTAAACAGAATATATATTACACACGATGATAAAACTGACATAACTATGTGGTAAGTCACAAACACTGACAAACAAAATGGAAGTTTTCATTAGAAATAAATACAAAACTTTTTCTTGCAATATATCTAATAATAGAAGGGTAAGATTTAACCTCCGAATGAGGGGGTCGCCACCCCCCAAAGGGTAGCCTGACATGTGTTCCGCAGCCATCTCGTATTTTCTCACATGCGTGGGATTGTGGGATCTATCTTATGACTGGATCTAGTCTCAAGAACTCTCTTGAGTTGATCGTGATTGAGTCGATCATTTCAGTTGAGATTGAAATGGTTGAGGGAGGTCGCACCAAGGCGAAAGGGATATAAGGCTCTAGTTTATTAGTGTTACAGAGTATAATACATATATTTTAATATATTTTTTAAAAGAAACAAAACCACTGAGAAATGTTACGTGTGTTTAACAAGGTTCGGAAAACTTTGAAAATGTTAACAACGGGTTCAGCTGAATCTGTGCAAACCCGCTGAATATCACCACTGTATATATATACCAGCCAACTCCAACAATCTTTTTAACTACAACACCCTTTAAAGCCATTACAAAAACAGTCTACACTCATTGTAATAGAATGAAGGACATAAAAGCAAAGCCAAGCAATTGCAAATATAGCTACAATGCAATAGCTACCCAAAGGCTGAGTCTATAAGTTAGCCCATAGACAGGAAGCAAGAGTAATACAACATGGCAGTGCACTGAGAGGTGCTCACATTGATATTGCAGCACTACAAGAATCTATTTCCCACTGTAAGATTGTGACTTATGATTGTCACATGCATACTATATATAAGGAAATTGCATCGCATATGTGTACATGATTAACTTAAAGACATACTTCCATGTTTAAGCTTCTTAGAAATGAGAAGGATCCAAGTGATTTCAGCACAGTGCCAGATGTTTATAAAATACAGTCGGCCCCCCTATAACATTGCTGATTATTCTGTTTTATATGAATTCCATGTTGTACGAGTCACTTAGATTTTACAAATACGTGTGCTGGGCTGTGAACAGCTCACGTATTTGTAAAATCTAAGTGACTCATACAACATGGAATTCATATAAAACAGAATAATCAACAGTGTTATAGGGGTTCGACTGTACCTCTAAGGCAGGGGTCTCCAAAGTGGTCAATACCGACCACAGGGGTCAATATGACATTGAGAGGGGTTGATTTGGGCTTAGATGTCAATCGGGAATCAATGGAAAAAAGTTAATTAAAAATTACTAATATAATAAATAACTAAATATTTTCTGTAGAAGTTGAAAACATCAAATGTAACTGTTAAAATACTAAAACATTACTGTCTATTGGTGTTAAAACACTTTTTATTAACACAAGCACTTTCAACATTTCCATAATGTCATCCTCAGGTAAAAGAATACAGCTTTAGAACAATTCAATTTTTAGAAAAAGGAGCACTACATATTTAAAATGAAAACTGTATTTTGGAATACAATGTTAAATAAATTTAAACTACAACAATAACATGCACATAGAGATAAATCTGCATAGAAAATAATAAAAATTACATAAAACAAAATGATAAAGGGAGATAACATAAGTGTTAAATGCTCAAATTTTTAAAAAGCAATACCCAAATTCCTAGAATATTCAATGTAGATGTATTACATAGTTCCATCTTTTCAATAAATACTGACTCCCAGATAAAAGTAACTTTTTTGTCACCAGAATGCAAAAGTAATGAAGTCTTACTCCATTTCAGGATACAATTCTTTTCTACCACACTTCTTGAAAGTTCAGTAGTGCACCTGTTGTTATGGATCTTGCTCTGGTGTTCAGTAAGACAGATTTGTAATTTTCTTGTTCCAGCAACCACTTGTTTGAGATGACATGTCAAGTTCAAGTTGCAGTATCTCTAACTCCTCGTATCTTTGGAATTTGGTGAGAGTGCTGTGGAGCTTGATATGTGAACTACCATTGCTCCAGGTGGAGCTAACAAAAATTATAAAAAGGTAATTCAAACACATGTCCATACCTTTTTGTTCTGTGCTTCATCAGTTACGAACCATTCAATCTCAACCAAGCATCGACCAATAGTTTCTGTCCAGCATTCTATCTATAAGATGATTAATTATATTACGATAATTATGACCATTACGATAATTATCCCAGAGAAATCTAATCATGGCTTCTTAGAAAGTAATCTAAGATTAAGTAAGAATGCCAAATTTCAACGTAAAATTCCAAAAATGCATAGTATGGGCATTAAAGGATGAATTAATTAAAACAGTTTATTCTGTTATTAATCCACAACCATAAATCTATGTTGTTTTGAAGAAATAAAAAGCCATTATTTATTATTCATTAACAAATCCTGTATAATCCATGTACAGTACAAAGTATATATTTACTAGGAGATGAGCTTGGCATTGCTCAGGCAAAAAGTAATGATAGCAAATATTAAGTTTATTATTTTATAGCTGATCTTACCCATTTTCACCAGATGCAAGAATTAGGTTCCCATCTTCTGAGACTAATTAGAGATTTTTAGATGGATCTAAAAATATATTCAATTTCCTGCAAAAACTGCATTTAAAATAATACAGTAGAACAGAGTTCTTCAGGATAATCCTTAACCACATCTCTCTCTCCACACAGAGGTGAATTCTGAAAAATATCTTCTTAGTGTACATTTTCATGACATACCCTGTGTACCAGTTTTCAACTCCTAACCATTTGAGCTCTGTGCTTATCATCATCATCATCAATTTTATCATCATTAACCCATCTTGATTATATATATATATAGATACAGTAACCATTATTTGAT